CACCCCCCCCCCCCCCCCCTTATGCTGACTTGACCTAGAGTAATCAAACATCTATCCCTAACCTCAACATCCATCATGTCCCTCTCCTCAGTGAATACCAATGCAAAGTACTCATTAAGAATCTCACTCATTTTCTCTGACTCCTTGCATAATTTCCCTCCTTTGGCCTTGAGTGGGCCAACCCTTTCTGTAGTTACCCTCTTGCTCCTTATCTATGAATAAAAGGCTTTGGGATTTTCCTTAACCCTGTTTGCTAAAGATATTTCATGACCCCTTTTAGCCCTCTTAATTCCCCGTTTCAGATTGGTCCTACTTTCCCGATATTCTTCCAAAGCTTCGTCTGTTTTCAGTCGCCTAGACCTAATGTATGCTTCTTTTTTCCTCTTTGCTAGTCTCACAATTTCACCTGTCACCCATGGTTCCCTAATCTTGCCCTTTCTATCCCTCATTTTCACAGGGACATGTCTGTCCTGCACTCTAATCAACCTCTCTTTAAAAGCCTCCCACATATCAAATGTGGATTTACTCTCAAACAGCCCCTCCCAATCCACATTCCCCAGCTCCTGCCGAATTTTGCTGTAGTTGGCCCTCCCCCAATTCAGCACTCTTCCTTTAGGACCACTCTCATCTTTGTCCATCAGTAATCTAAAACTTACGGAATCGTGATCACTATTCCCAAAGTAATCCCCTACTGAAAGCTCAACCACCTGGCCGGGATCATTCCCCATCACCAGGTCCAGTATGGCCCCTTCCCGAGTTGGACTATTTACATACTGCTCTAGAAAACCCTCCTGGATGCTCCTTACAAATTCTGCTCCATCTAAACCCCTAACACTAAGTGAATCCCAGTCAATGTTGGGAAAATTAAAATCTCCCATCACCACCACCCTGTTGTTCCTACATCTTTCCATAATCTGTCTACATATTTGTGCGTCTATCTCACACTCGCTGTTGGGAGGCCTGTAGTACAGCCCCAACATTGTTACCGCACCCTTCCTATTTCTGAGCTCTGCCCACATTGCCTCGCTGCTCGAGTCCTCCAAAATGCCCTCCTTCAGCACAGCTATGATATCCTCTTTGACCAGTAATGCAACTCCTCCACTCCTTTTACCTCCCTCTCTATCCCGCCTGAAGCATCTATAATCCTGGGATATAGAGTTGCCAATCTTGCCTTTCCCTCAACCAAGTCTCAGTAATAGCAATAACATCACACTCCCAGTTACTAATCCAAGCCCTAAGTTCATCTGCCTTACCTACGACACTTCTTGCATTAAAACAAATGCACCTCAGACCACCTGTCCCTTTGTGTTCATCATCTGCTCTCTGCCTACTCTTTCCCCTTAGTCACACTGACTTCATTATCTATTTCCTTACAGGCTTTAGTTACTACCTCCTTACTGTCCACTAACCTCCTCATTTGGTTCCCATCTCCCTGCCACATTAGTTTTAACCCTCCCCAACAGCATTAGCAAAAGCACCCCCTAAGACATTGGTTCCAGTCCTGCCCAGGTGTAGACCGTCCGATTTGTAATAGTCCCACCTCCTCCACAACTGGTCCCAATGTCCCAAAAATCTGAACCCCTCGCTCCTGCCCCATCTCTCAAGCCACTCATTTATCCTGCCTATTCTTTCATTTCTACTCTGACTCGCATGTGGCACTGGTAGCAATCCTGAGATTACTACCTCTGAGGTCCTACTTACCCAAGCTTAGGGCTTTGGCATCTGAAAGTGCAGCTACCTATGTCAGGTCATATTGCAGAATTTAGTGATTGGGTCTGCTCTGCCATTCAATGAGGCCATGACTGATCTGATTATCCTCGACTCTATTTTCCCGTCTTTTCTCCATAACCCTTGATTCCTTTACTGATTGAAATCTGTTCGATGTGGAAAATCAGAAGCTCAAGAAGCCAAAATTGGAAAATCCACATATTATATTCATAAGAATAT